GACCCACCAGCTATAGTGTCAAACAAAGGGTGTGCAAATGACACGGTGTGTAAAAAAGAGCGGGCTTGGTACACATCAACCTCCAACATGTAAAAAAATGATACAATGGCACGAGCTAAACGAAAATCGTGACAGTGATGACATTAGTAGTTAAATAATGGGTGATTTAAGTCAATCGATAATGTTGGGGGACTAAATGTCTCTTCACTTTTGTGGGGGATGAATTCGTCCCTACTCATATTTTTTAAGGGACGATTCAAGAGTTCTGCCTAAATAACTTCCCTTCTCCCCCATTTCCTTCTTATGGAGGTAATAATTTTAAGATCTTAGTAATGGGAAGATATCCAATTAGGCCCAAACTTAGAAATGGATGATATCAGGAAAGAGGACATAGTGGGGAAAAACACTACAGTACGTACACTATCTTATCATGCAAGCCCAGTGATCCAATTACAACTGACATTATAGAATTATTATAAAATAAGTGTCGTTCTGTAATCCAAACAACAAAACCCAAAGTTAATAAAAAGAGTCCACCCCTGCAATCCAGGAGTCTCCCTATTTAGCCCATATTTTTTTTATTATGCATAAAAAGTTCAGCATGAAGGCAGGTTACAACCCAATCCAAAGCATGATGCCAACCCCATTGAGGACTTGTAGTGAAATTTATAGATTACCAACCCACAGGAGACAATTGCCAACACGATTAAAACCTCATGACTAAAACCTATGAACTAGCAATCCAATGTTCGAATCTATGAAGAGAACACAGAACTCAAATCTGAAACAAATTATGGAATCTAGAAAGGCTCTAAGCAACTGTCAAAAATATGCCAAAAAATGGCATCTTATAGCTCCACATTGAAAAAGAAAAGCAAGCTATTGTGCAAGAAACAGAATCTGACACCCCCTTCAACCTTTTCTCTTTTGGCCAATCACACCCTCTTCAACTCATTAAGCATAAAAAAGAACCAAAAACTGACCTTGCTAGATCCGCCCCCCGCGGGAGGCTCCTAACTACCATTTTCCAATTTACTCGGTCTTAGAAAACATTATAAATCCCACATCCCATGGGAGAATATTATTAAGATCTGCTAAAATAGAAATTTTATATAACTTCTGAAAATGGAGTATGAAGGAGTCTACAACAATATTCAATTACTGAATAAATCAAATATAGCTTCTTTAACAGCACTAAATGGGTACCGTATTTACCAAATGTTTACAGCATTCGGGTGAAAACGGTAAAGACTAGAAACCATCGATGCAACTACGATGCAGAAAGAAACTACAGGCTTAAGAACTATTTCAAACATAAAAATTCGCATCTCAGTTACATAGGGCAATCTATAGACTTCGAATAAGCTGAAGCCTAGTGCATATCACAGTTTAAACAATTTGAGATTTTTTGTAGGCCTCATGTAACCTAAATATGCTTTAAGTTACCTAAATATGTACTAGGGCAAACGACAATATAAAAATGAAACATGATAAAGAAAGCAAAACAGAAACAAAATGAATCCAAAAACAACTAATAAGTCAATAACAGATGTTTAAAGCATAGTTTGAACATTACATAAAAGATAAGAGCAACTCTCCAAGAAAAACTAAACCAACATATGATCCAGATCCTTAGCTCAAATCATTAGGACATAATGCATAAGTAACCCTTCTAACATTACCAAACAGGCAAGTGCAAAACTGAGACATTACAAAAGTCAATCTGCCTTTCTCCTAAAAGAGCATCCCTCTGTTAGCCTAGCACGTCCTCCTGTAGGTTGGCACAACACTGTCTGGCAGTTCCCACACACCACCACTGTTTGCGAATGGCTGAACACAGTTGTTCTGCAGAAATTTATGGGAACATAAAATTTCTATACATTTCAAAAAATAATTACCTATTAATATGAAACCATAATTCACAGAAATAACAAGCATGAGCTACTCATTTTATTCCCAAAGTTGATCTCAGAATAAATTTGAAATGGGTTGATGCCATCCAGCTTCAGCTGCCAGGACTAGCAGTTCCTACATTCTCCGCTATTCTTTGTCAAACCTTTGCCCTTTCCAACAACCACCATACAAACATTTAATACAACAGAACCTCAAGATTTTCTACCCAAAATCACTCAACCTTTTATACTTGCAGTAACCCAACGGCCCAACACTCAGATCAAAGGAAACACTCACCCATAGTCAGCAACACAATGACAACATCAAAGGATACAGGAAATCTAAAACTACAAATAGCCAAAGTCCACAGAAACATAACTCGCTAACATCAAAACTACCACTGATTGAAATGTTGTGAATGCTACCACTTGATCTTTTGTGGTTGTAAAATCAGAATTCCTGCTTAGTTAGAATATGTATTTCACTATCACTCTGTTCACGCAACCATGAGATAATTTCAGCCCTACACTTCTAAACAATGCTTAGAAATCATCTACTTTTATGTTTCACTCATTCAAAAGCAAGAAAATTTACGACGTCTTCCCTTCTTTTTCAGGATTTCATTCAGTAGATATGACCCAAATAAATAACAATGATAAGAAAATGAAAGGAACAAAAAAGAAAGAGATGACTTACATTTGGAAGCAACCCTGGCACTTGACATCCTGCAAAACAGAAGAATCAGTGATAAAATCCAATGAAAAAGCTAAATATTTTATAAATCAACAACACCATTGGTAAGAGAAGGGAATTACCATGAAGAACGAGTTCGGGGACTGCACAAGACGCTTGAGCTTGTGCTTCTTCTTCTCCAGCTCGGCCGGAGGATTGAGCAAATCGATATCATTCTGAAGAACCTGCAAAATAAAAAAGAAGAATCACCAGATTTCATAAACTACCATCAATCCCTCAAAACCAAAGGCAAAAACACAGAACGGAGATTCAGAAACTTGATCAGAAATCGTATTCAGCTCACCATCTCGACGGAGCAGTTGAACGGGTCTTTGCAGACAATCTCAAACCCTAGAAACCCTGCCAAAGAGCCACCGCCAAAGACTGCTGCGTGCAAGTGAAAATGAGCCGTGTTATGAGGACGAATATAAAGGGTGTTCTAAGAAATATAGGCCGTTAGATCTTGGGAACATTTGATCCGGGCCTTTCGTTTATCTTTCACTCGAGGTATCTAGGGCAACGCATACGGAGGGGTATAGTTGTCAATGTGAATCTTTAGTTTTCGCGGCCTGTCGGTTTTTGTCCTCTTAAGAATCCTTTGTTTGAGTTTTGCCCCTTAACTTTTGAACCGTATTTTTACCGCCTAACTTTTACAACGTTTTAGGCTTCGTTTGTGAGTGCTCCAGATAGTGCTTTTTTCCACATCATATTATCTAAAATATAAATTTATTAGAAATAATTAATTTTTTATATATTTTTAGTAATTTTAACTAATATTTTGTGTATTTTTTGGATAGGAATAAAAAATAATAATAATTAGTATATTTTCGAGTTTAATATATTGAATACTACATTTATTAAAAAATTATTATTTTAAAATTTAAATTTAAAAAAAAATTTAACTGCAAATTTTAATAGTTAAATCGAAAATGTTGATGAATATATTGAACTGAAAAATATACCAAACATATTCTAGATAAAAACCTACAATAATTGCACAAAACAAAACTTCCAAACTTTGAGCAGTTTAACAAAACTAAGCATCGAAAAAGAGCTATACAATCTAAACTATACAATATAAATAATTATGTGAGGTGCTCCATGAATGCAGGAGAAGTCTCATACGTACTGTTTACACAAAAAATTGCAAACATTTAAGATCATATCACGTGTCAAATATTTTTTAAATGGATGGAGGTGATTCAATCATTTCAGATATGCAATTCTAGGGTTCATGATAAATCAAGCCCCACACAAGAAAGAATGAGACAAAAAGATAAGAGTTTATCTTTTGGTTACCTTTTTGAGTCAAATTAGGTCTGTTTTAGCTAACATTTAAGAGTTGGTTTTAGTTATGGGTGTGGGTTAACTGATAATAGGATAGGTGGTGAAATCTTGAAGGAAATTTGACCCTATCAACTGTTGAGATGTTCCACTATTTTAAGCAACTGCCTATAATTTGTGTAACTGTAGAAAGTGGGGGTTGCCACTAGAGAAGAGAACAAAAGGAAAATTTTCGATCATTGAACACATGGCTTGCCCTACACACAACCTAATAAAATTTTCAAACTTTCAATTTCTTTGCGATTTCTCACTTTTGCTTATAGATTTCGGATTTCAACACAATTCCCAGTAGATTTAGATTGTTTTTCATCATTCTAATAGTCAAACTAGTTTGATGCTTTAACAATTTCATTTCATGTAATGAACATTAAGTTTTGAATTTTTGCATGGTACTGTTCATTTTCTGATTGGTGTTAATTTAATGTTTATGATAAATAACATTTCATCAAATGATTACTTATATGGCGTTCATGCTTCTTCTCAATTTCAAGCATGTTAATTTAGTCCTTGTTCAAGTTTATTTAAGTGTAATTTTGGATTAGATCCCTAATCCTACAATAATTTAATTTCCAGATTTGTCTATAGATAGCTGTTTAATCTAACATTAAACATGCTTAATTTAATTTGGATGCATTTTTTATTTGCGAGTTTATTTTAATTTGCATGCCATTTAGCTCGTTTAAGATATGTTAACTTTGATTCACAGTAGTATTTAAGTTCTTGGAGTTGTCCAAAGTAAATTTAGTAACCCATTCTACAGGAAGGCATCCCTCTCTTTTGCAAATCGTTTGTAAGCATCGATTTTAATTTTAAACCAACGTTCTCTCACCATCCACAAGGAGGTCGACCATAGGGAAAAAGAGAATTGTTGAAAAAATCTTTCTTTCTTGCTTTCAACAAAGTGAGTGATACACTTATATTTAGATTTTATATGTGCGAAAGTCACAAGGATTTTTGAGGAAACACTTACCAACTTGTGTTTTGCAATTTTGTGTAAATAGAAAAATGCCAGACTCTTTTTATCATTGAATTAAATCTAAACAACCGTTTAGAAAAACTTGGTATATAATGTTACAAACCAGTTGAGCACTTGATTAACAATTTGTTAGGCTCGAGTTCATTTAGCTTTGGCTTACGCTCGATTCCAATCTTGTTAAATCGGGCCCTATATGACCAGGAGCTTAATTCATTCATCCGTCAAACAAGATGGTAAACATTGCCGAAGTGGGTTCACAAGAACCCCAGAAAAGCCAACCCTACAGGGGATATCAAACGATGATCGTATATCCCAGAAGAATCTAGGAGTAAAGAATTCCACTTTGTCAAACGTTAAATTAAGAACCCAGGATCTTGTCACTTGTAAGAATAGCCAAGATAATTCTTTCAGCTAAGCACTAAGGAAGAAGACCCTATCATGTTGTGTTAAATCATGCAGGAAACTCTTTCATGTATGGTTCATCACGCCATGGTTGTGAATTAATTTGGAAAATAGATAACAATGGGTACACTTCCCCGAGAAGAAAGAATTCTTTGAAAACGAAGAGTTATATATTGCAAAACTCACTTTTGTACAAATTAAAGATCCTTTGAGAATAAGCAAAGCCTGTCAAAAGGAATACAATTTAAAAAAAAAAAGAAAAAAGAAAAAAAGAGAGAGAGATTTCTATAGTGAGGCATCTGCCATGTCTCAGTACGTAAACTTCTCATGAATGCTTCATGCAACAACAATGCCTGTGAAAATCAAAAGCTTTCAATGACTCTTATGATCCTTCTATCTTAATGCCCAGAAATGTGTAGCAAATGGAGCGGTTAAGCTGCCAGATTTTAACTTCCACCATGTCAAGGTGTGATATTCCTCAACCAAGGTTTTCAAATATCATATAGTTATTACTTATCAGCCCTACTACATCTTGCAAATTTTGATTCTCCTATCTGCTGGCTGATTTGTGTCTTCACCATGGCACCCAAAATTTGATCATGCTTGTTAAACTTTTGGTAGAATACCTGGATTAATTTAGATTACACTGTCATTTTTTTTTTTACAAAAAAAAAAAAAAAGAAAAAAAAGAAAAAAAAGAAAGAAAAAAAAGAGAAAAGAATAAGAAAAACAGATATGACCCATTAATTAAGATCACACTGTCAATTCTGCAAGTGTAAACTAAGAATAAAGATAAACGATATACCAAGTGTGGAATCAGCATTCATGTTTCTCTAGCTTATCTCAGAAAATTCCCCAAAGCAATTTTTGCCACTGTATTAGAGGAAACCTGATCTAACATGTACGAGAAAACTGAGGAGAAGTCTGGAATAGACTATGTGTCACCAGTAGTCCTGGCAAGAACAAGATCCCTTATTGAAATGATGGAAACGACTTCGATCCCTGATGATAATTTCTCTTTCAAACTTATCTGAAACATACTTCATGAAACAATGGCAATCATGACAAATACGAAGATTCTTTATGATCCTTATGGTTCTTTGATCGCTAAAACTGAGAAGGGCAAAAGCAACAGCCAACTTTTCACCATGAAAACAAAGACTATGTTCCTTTTCCTCCTCTTCAATATCATGTAACACATTGGATGTAAAGGGTGTATAACCTTCAACTCTAAGACTATCAATTGTTGATACCAAGAATTCTTTAATTTCTTTGGATTTGGGATGTGAATTATCTCCTGACACAAACTCGTAAATCGCATCATCAACACTAAGTAAACTATAACCGGGTTTCTTGTTGATTCTTTTCTCCCTCATTGAAGCTCTCATCTCTGCCTTCTCAATCCATCTGCCAACTCCACCATATGCATTTGATAAAAGCACATAATCACCATCATGATAAGGATCAAGCTCATGGATTCTCTCTTTTACTTTCTCTGCCAACTCAGGATTGCTATCGTTCACACAAGCTCCAAGCAGAACCCTCCAAATAACTGAATTCGGTTTAATAGGCATTCTTTCTACAAACTCAAAGGCTTTGTTGAGCAAACCTGCCCGACAAAGTAGATCAACAACACAACCATAATGCTCTATCATTGGTTCCAATCCAAACTCATTCTTTATGCTGTTAAAAATTTGCCATCCTTCATCCACAAGACCACTATGACTACAACCCACTAAAACGCCACTAAATGTCATGTGATCAGGCTGTAAACCAGAATTTTTCATCTCAAGAAACACTCCTAATGCTTCTCTACCACGCCCATGCACAGCAAGCCCAGTAATCAATGCCGTCCAAGTAAGTACATTTCTGACAGGCATTTTATCAAAAACTCTGGTAGAATCATTAATAGATCCACATCTTGAGTACATATCGATCAAAGCAGTACCTAATGACACAGTAAGATCAAACCCACTTCTGTAGATAAAAGCATCAACCCACCTACCCAATTCCAGAGCTCCTAAGCTCGAGACTGCAGATATCACACTGAGCATTGTCACCTCATCGGGCTTCACTTCTCCCAGAAGCTGCATCTTTTGAAATAAATCCAAAGCTTCATACCCAAAACCGTTGTTGGCAAAGGAAGCAATCATACTAGACCATGAAACCAAGTCTCTTTCACTCATTTCATCGAACACTTTCCGTGCAACCGAAACCAATCCAAAACAGCCATAAAAACTAATCAGCGCATTCTGCACATAAATATCGTCATCCAAACCAAGCTTCACTATAAGCGAGTGTATCTCATGACCCATCTGGAGGCGCCCGCAAGCCTTGAGAACGAAAGGGAAGGTGTAGTAATCCGGAGAAACCCCAGCACTGTGCATGTTGGAGAAGAGCAATAGGGAGTAAGAGGGAGAGAACTGAGCGTGGGCCCTGATGAGGGTATTGTAAGCGAATGTGTCCGGGGAAGGAAGACGGGCGAAGAGAGACCGCGCATAGGATAAACTGTGGGGAGCAGAAGCGGCGCAAAGTAACAGAAGGGGACGGATGGAAAGAGGGTCATCATGATGGCCGTTCTTGATGAGGCGAACAATAGCATGGAGCTTGGGTACATTATTCATAAGTGGCAAGGAAGAAGATGATCATGCTTCTTCAATCTTCTTGTTTCTAAATTCTAATTGAGACCCGTTGCGGTTGTAGACTTCTGAAATGTTTTAAGGTCTAGTTTAAAATTTTTTTCCTTTTTGGTTGGTTGTACAACTACACAACCCCCCTTCCGTTTCTTTTCCATGCGATTTAAATCCAATCAATCTTATTTTTAGTAGGAGAAGATGATTAATTTAAATTGTGATATTTCAAACTTCACGAGTTATTTTTATTTTTTCTTTTATTTAATTTTTTATATCCGAAAATAGAGTGCTACTTGTTAACATTAGAAAAAAAAAAATAGACCTATAATATTATAATTTTATAATTATAATATGATATTAAATAGATATATATATATTTTTTGAACAATATTA